CCGCATGGACCTTACGCCCCAGCATCAGTTCAAAGAGTGACCTCGGAAGGCTTCGGCGCACCCGTCCATGCAGGTGCGCATCCTGCCCCAGGTGGGAAGTCACCCAATGTGTTTCTGCCAGATGATGGTTTCAGTTCGAGGATACAGAATGTGCAGGTTTTCGTTGTAGAAGTGATCATGGCAGTCTAGGCAGGGGTGAATAAGAGTCGTAGGAGCCATGGTTCAGAGATTAATGCGCTGGTCGCAAGGCACTCAGAGAGTTTAAGCTGCTCTTTCTTAGCAACTTCACTGAAGATTGCCCATTTTCTCAACAAAGCTGAACCCTAAGCCCCTAAATAGTAGTTTCTATTTTATTTTCGATTATTCCTATATAACCCTAATATACTATAGTAGTTTCCATTTTGTTTTCCATTATCCCCATATAATCTTGACACCCTTAAGCCGCCTCGGTTGTGTGTTGGGGGTCTGAGGGGAGTCGAGGTTGTGGATTCCGGTCTCGAGGGCCACACGGTGACGGGTTGAGGGTAGGATCTTCTGGGCTTGGTCTTGTCCTCTGTAGGTTCAGGGGGGCTTCGTAAGTCTACTTATATCCTTATAAGCCATACAATGACCCCACTTCTCCATAGTATGAAACTACATAAGAATTCCTGACCCGCAGGATCCATTTGTTTTCTCACTTTCTTTTGCATTTCATTTTCCATTATTGGGGGTACTATCCGTAAGCCCTAAACCCTACAGCCAGAAGACCAGGAGAGGACGCTAGTTCACATTTTCTTTTCCATTGCCCCTATATGTCCCTGTAGAATCCCTATATGCCCCTGAAATGTAGTTTCCATTTTCTTTTCCATCATTCCTAAACCTTCGCCCCTATATTATCCGCATCTAGTCCTATAACACCCTCATATATCCATATATCACCCCTATGTAGCTCCTATATTGCCCTAAACCCCAAGCCTCAAACCCTAAACCCCAAACCTTAAACTAAACCCTAGACCCTAAACCCTATGCCTGGCCAGGGCTCGGCGTCCTCCTCCGTTTTACCAGGGCTTGTGAAGCTGCAGGCACAGTGGCGCGGGTATCTAGCCACTTGGCCGCGGATGGGGACCTCCAATAGTAGTATCTATTTTATTTTCCATTACACCCCCCAAATCACTGAAAACTTCAATTCCGAAATCCCCAGAACCGGATAGTCAACTGGAACACTGGAATTCACGTTAGGGCGCACGCACGCGCGCGTACACTAACATTGATCCTCCCAACCCCTAATACTTAGAATATTTCCCATCTAGTATAATATATCATATAACTGGAGTATTTTAATGTTAGGGGGGTGGGGGGGCTTAATGCTAAGTAGCGGGAGGGGATTAAAGTCCTAAACCCGCCTTCAGGGTTCCTGTTTTGGGGTTCAGGTATTCGGGAAAGTTAGGGCTGAATGGGGGGCGACTCTCCTCGTAACCTTTTCCTGAAAAGTAGAGGACTCTCGCAACCATTGTTACTATTCCGGTCCTGCCACAACTGTTCTTCCAAACGGTTCTTGCAAGAGTGCTACTTCGGCATTTCCGTGGTGTCGGCCGCCACCCTCCTATACCCTTAACCCCTTAACCCAGTACTTGCCCTGGGAATCCAAAAAAGGCATCCATGATTTGGGGAATATAGGGGTAAGGGGAAAATGTAGTGTACAATGAGTCAGTCTCCTAGCCGGTTGCATCAGCAGAACGTGGGTCAACCTAAAGAGCATGTCTTCTGAACTCCCTGTGCTTCTCCGTGACTGAATTCATATGGTCATGGAGACCATTCATGGGGATGCTATGGGGCTAATGTAGGAATCCATCTAGTTAAATAAGATTGCACAAAGCCAAAGCTTTCAAGTGGTGTTCCCCTTTTTTTTCACTGATTAACATCTTTTGATGAGGTGAGAAAAGAAGCTGAGCGCAGCAAGCAGTCGTCAGGCACTGAGAGTGTAGAGCAATTGCCAGGTTTAGACCTCTTTCCTGCAGCCTCAGGTACATGTTCTCTTTCACCTCCTGCATCTTGCAGTAGAGCTTTGGCATGGTCCTCAGAAGGTTTGGAGGGAATTTCGCATGAGGGCTAGAATGCCTTTGAGAAAATGTTTACTCAACCCACCGTGCATGATTGAGACGTGCAAGCGGCCGCATGCTCTGCCCCTGCACTTGTACAGTGTACAGAGGAAATTCCATCCTGTTGCGGACTTAACACTGCTGGTGGAAAAGGGCTCTGTCTAGCTGGCCATGCCCGCGAGAGTTTTCGACTAGGTGCGGCTGAGGTGTTGCAGCATTTCTTGATCCTGCCAGGGCACTGTAAGCTCCTTGGGTGACAACTCTGCTGAAGGCGGGATGAGACTGCCTGCACATAGTTGCCGTCATGCAGCTGTTTTGCGTAAACAAGGGAAAGGGCCGAAAGTGTGCTTTGCAGGGTCCTGTATTCTCGTTTTTGCAACTGGAGAACTTTCAATTCGGACGAAAAGCAAATCCTCAGGTAGGTAGGGTGCCGGAGCCTCCCGAATCGTGCTGGTGCGGGGATAGCAGCTGCAGGGGCTCAACTAGGTCCCAACATATGTGCCAACGAGCACTGCAGTTTTTGGCCACCATCATTGTTTGCGTGGGCCTCTGAGCTCCGTCGCTGGGGCCATGGCCATGCCAGCACAAGCTGCAGCTTTCTTGATTGTTTGCTGCCTCCTTGGGTCACAGGGCCACCTGACTTCGCAGCATGGCTGTGATGTACTGGACTGTGAGGACAGCACCGCGGCTCTAGCAGCTGTTCAACTCTCAGCGTCAATGGAGCGTAATGCCGGGATTGCGACCTCAGCACAGGGTCTCCAGGCATCTAGCTGCTTGTTGGCAGCACCAGAGCTTTCTGTGGCCGTTCGCGACTTTCTCAACAAGATGGGCTCGAGTCGAAATGCTGGTGCAGATGCTGGCTCAGCTCTTGCGGAGGCTGCATCGAAGGCAGGTTGTGATTTGGCTCAGTGGAACGCGGGACTTGCACGACGAACTGCCAAGCAGACGGCTGCTTTGGTAAGCCTAGTGGAGTCGCTGGGCAATCTGCGCCTGAGACCCTCCAGGCAGGAATCTAGCAGCAGAGCTGAGGCTACCTTTGTGTTTGAGAGTTTTGATGAGAGTGGTCGTGCTGGCACTGGTATGTTGGGGGAAGGCTGCCAAGGCAAAAGCGTATCGGAGGTGGCCATCACAGTGTCGCAGGAAGGGCCATTCCTTTGGACCAACCTCACCGGTGCCAGCATGCCCTTCAAGATAGGGCCTCCCTGTGCTAACACAAATCTTATCTCGGGAACCATGTGGCCTACAAAGGTCACGCCCCAGGGGATAGTGGGCGGAATCAAAGCTGCCTTTGTCAATCTACGGTCCACTATGTCCGGGACCTGGAGTACGGGGTCTCAAGGCTTTAACGGTAACATCACTGTGGCTTTTGACGACCTCCTCAAGGTGGAGTGGACCTGGGAGCCAGAATCCTGAAGGCCAAGGTTTGCCAGCTTGCAAGCTTTACTTTTGAGAGACCCCTCTCCCCTTGTCCAGCCTTCACCCCGTTGCTGTGCCATGGTGCACTTGCGGGGCACAGCGGATGCCTGCACGCTGCTAGGATTCCTGCAATTCGCCTGAACTTTCCGGGAGCCTACACAAGATATGCAAGCTGGAAGGAGTTGGCAAAAGAAATTGCGTCAGGGAGTGCTCCTTGCTTTGAAGCCATTACACTGGAACAAGACAACCATCTAAGGCCCAAGGGTTTCCCAAGAGCAGCTCACGGCAACAGGCGGACTTGATGCCCAGCTTCTGCTCTACATGAGCCGCTTCCGCAGTGTGTGGGTGGTGTCCGGCCTGTTTGTGAGATCCGGCAGGAGAGATAGAATCATGACTTAAGAGGGACCTTGATCCCATTTACTCCCTTTACTTGTTCAGCTCCCCTGAAGCTGCACATCGAACATACTTTGTTTTGTTGGTGGCCTAATAGATGCTGCTGTTTCATCTTTCGGGGTCTTGGGCCTGACAGGAGCATACTCAAGCCAGGGCTTCAGACTAAAATAATCCCTTCATGCTCATTAAGAAAACCCTCACCTCTAGTGTCAAAGATGTTGCCCAATTTACAAGGTCTCCTATGACTCCTATGCGTAGATGGGGGTGTTCAATATAATATACATATATATATACACACATATTTCCAAATGAAGTGCTTAATCTGCTTACCAGCCCTCCGTATCAGTTCGAAAGAAACAGCCCGAGACGCTCCCATCCCCAAATCAGAGCCTAATTTTTTGTTTCGTAAGCCCTGAGTTTCAAAACCGCCCCTACATCCGACAGTATTGTACAGGGTGATAAGCTCATATTTAAGGGTTTGCAGGATCAATCTGAACTTGGGCGACCCCTTGACGGCCCAAGTAAATCTGGGCTTCATTATATATGTGTTTCGAATCCCGCCTGCGGATAGTGTAGGGGACATGCCTGGCTGTGTAGGGATGTTTGGGCTAAACCGTCAACCCCCTTGTAACATGTCTTGTTCCTTGAAAGCATGTAACCATGAGTTGTGTTGCGTTCTGTAGGCGAATGACATGGGCCAAGCCCCTAACCTTCTGATGCTATCTGGTAGTTTCCCAAAATGGGAGCTTAGGGTTTAGGGTTTATGTTTTGGGGGACCCCGGTATAGCCCCCAAAAGGCTATAATCATAATCCTTACTGTGAGAACCTCCATGAAGGTCCCCCTCCAATTTGGGAAACCTCATTGCGTCAAATCTCTCAAGCAGTGAGCCTTTGACCCTCACGTCCGAAGCATTCAGCATTAAGCATCCCCCCCCCCCCACCCCGCAGATGATAAACCTCCCCCGGGATGGTACCGCCATACTTTTCGGGGGAATATGTATTCAAAACCTCCAAGCCCTAAACCTTAAACCCTAAACATGTGGGTTCGGATTCTAGTCGGCGTCGGGGCAGCAGTTTGATGGAGACCAGTACATTTGTGATTTGACCCGGATTCTAACCTTGCGATGCTGTATGGCCATGCAAGCGGCAAAAACCCTGAAAGCCCTCAACCCTCGACCCTAAACCCTAAATCCTGATCAAGTTTCAAAAAAATCCTGAACCCTATATAACCCATTAAAGTAACCTCAATATAGCCCTAATCTTACCCCAAAGAGTACCTATATCCCCTAAAGCCTAAACACTAAACACTAAACACTAAATAATGGATACCTATATCCCCTAACCCCTTTCTTTTGCCAGGAGCCTGCCGAAGAGTTGGGAGAGTTGCCTCAGGCCCTGGGCCCAGACAGTAGCACCGGGGCTTTGGATCATCAGGATTTGGGGTTTAGATTGTACGGTTTTAGGAGAAAAGGGTTGAGGATTTAGGGTTTAGGGTTCAGAAACCTAGGGAAAAGGGTTGAGGGTTTCAGGTTTATGGTTTAGAGTTTAGGGTTATAGGTTCTCCGGCCTCCGTAATTGCATCCCCCCTGTGGCCAAGCTCATGGGGGAAGGCGCTGCTCTCGGGAGGCTCTGCTGGCAGTCAGCAAGCCCGCGCTCAAAAGTGTTGTAGGTTTGGGGTGTTTCAGGTTATAGTCCCCTTTAGGTAGATAGAATATGGGGTATATGGGGATCTTATTGTAAATATACCCGAAGCCATATTCTATCTACTTAAGGGGGACTATAGGTTTGAGGGCCTTTTCTGGTTTCCTTCTTTGGCGTTCTGCCCTTCTCGAGCCGTTAGCTGCTGCCAGTCAAGGACTAGGCAGCTTGCTTTCCGCTTCCCATGCTTTTCCTTTCACTTCCGCGGATTCCCTAGGGTTTAGGGTTTAGGGGTTTAGGGTTTAGGGTTTAGGGATTTTGAGGCTTCGTGTCCTTGTGTTTCCTTTCGGGCAGCAAGTTGCTAGACGAACGAGGGTCACAGAATTGTTTCCAAAGCGTCCTAACAAGTACGATCCAGTGAGGTGTCTTCCTCAATCCGGCTTTTCCTTCTCTTGAACTTACTGCTTTTTAGTAGGGAAAAAGGGGATTATATATATATATACATATATATATATGGAATCTAGAGGGATTATGTTCCGATATTCCCTACTAGGTTCGTTAAATTCCAAGCACCGCAGTAAGCCAAATCAATGTACTGTAAAGCATTGGGTCAGTTGCATCAGGGCTTAGGATGATTAGCGTTTAGGGTTTAGAGTTTAGGGCTCGGGACAAGGGTTAAGGTTTAGGGTTTAGAGTTTAGGGTTTAGGGAAGAGGGTTTAGAGTTTAGAGTTTAGGGTATAAGGAATAGGGTTTAGGGTTTAGAGTTTGGGGTGTAGAACGTCAACTTGCCAGGTTCCATTGCCTTTGCTCAGCAGTAGTGCGGCAGAACGTGAACGTCGGGGCCTCGGCTGGAACCAGCAGTTTAGGGTTTGGGAATTAGGTTACGTCGATCCCCCTTATAGTAATAGCTCCTTAATATGGAGTTAATAGGGCCTTGATATACCTGCAATAGTCAATGTTGAGGGGTGTGTGTAAGCAAAAGTCTACAACAGCCTCCTGGCTTCTGTTGGGCCATCCTCCATGCCCTGCAGAATCCCTGATGGTCCAAGTACCCAATGATCATACTCCCAGTACCAAAAGCCCAAGTACACAAATAATTGGGCACATTGACCTTCAGGGGTACATATATAGATTTAGATATAGATATGCACATCTAGCACACGCACAGTTCTGTACATATGTATATATACACATATGTTTATAGGTACGCACATCTGCATTATATTTTTGGACGCTTTCAATTGTCTGGAATGATTGGAGAATGTGAGAAACTCCTCAATCCCAGGCCCTCCTGATGCGTTGCTGGCGCCGTTGCAGCTGCGGGCATCTGACGTCGGAAAGCCCACCTACAGCGGCACTGCCCTCAGCATGACAACCACTGATGACATCCACCTAGGCCTAAGGCACAAGGGTTTAGGGTTTAAGGGTTTGGGGTTTGGGGTTTGGGGTTTAGGTAGTGTGAACATGGGCGGCTGAACAGCCCGTCATGAAGCCCCCCGGGGCGCGGTCCTTGGGCAAAGAAAGGTCCAGTTCACGTTCCGCATGCCAGTGCTACCCAGACAATGGTTCTTAATGCTTATTATACTGAAGCCCAACAGAAAATATGAAATCCTAGTGCTGAAAACTCTCTCCCTCTATTTTACCCCCCAGCCGTACTTGATACTAAATGTTGCCAGGATACGATGTAGACCGCAATGAGCGTGTTGACACAGACCGACCAAAACCCAAACAAACCCTACATGATATCTAGAAACACCCTGGACCCCCAACCCTAAGCCCTGAACTCTAATCGCTAAACCCCCAACCCTAAGCCCAAAATCCTAAACCCGAAGCCTTAAACCCACTGATACTGCTTCAAGCCTCAACTCCAAGCCCTAACCCAAAAAAACGACGCCCTGAACCCTAAACCCAGCGAAATTGCTCGCAGTGTAAGGTGGTGGCCCAAGCCAAGAAGCCGAGGTAGAGCCCAACTCACCGGGTGCCCGACCCAGCAAACTGAAGCTTTAGAGGTTTTGGGAGTTTAGGGTTTTGGGCTTTTAGGGTTTTGGGGTGTTGGGGTTTTGGAGCCTAGTGTTTTGGGGTTTTAGAGTTTCGGGGTTTTGGGATTTTGGTGGTTTTAGGGCTTTGGTGTTTTGGGGTTTTAGGATTTTCGGTGTAGGGCCTGCATCATATCATTGGAAAGGGGCGCGATCATTGGGTTCGTAACCTTGGCAGGTGATGGGACGGATGCTCACCATTCCACTTAGTGTTGGGTAGTGATCTTGTCCTTCATTGGCAAACATCATTGTGAATGTCACCACCTTTCTTCTGCCACTCCTGTTTCATTGCAATGTCCTTATTCTTGTCTTTTGAGGGGATTCTGGACTAGCCCTTATGCAGCAGCCTAGGCCCAGGGAGCCGTGCCTCAGGCGGCATCGAGCCCCAGCCGGCGAGTCTGCCACAGATCACCCAAGGCACTTCCAAAGCGGTTTAGGTTTGAATTTTAGGGGCCGAGGATGAAAGTGAGGGCTGAGGATGGGAGTCCTTTTTGTCTTTGCATTTTTTAGTCTCCAACAGTTAGGGGCCCCACCTCCAGTGTATTACAAACCTCATGACAGGGACCCCCAACAACTTTTGGAAACCTGGATAGCGGATGCTAGGCTCACTGTTGGGGAGCGCAGGGAGAGGTATCGCGGTCTAACCGGGCAGGCAACCGCTCAAATTCTAGTATACATACGTATGGCTGAAAGATCAGTGGTTGAGGATGTAGCGCCATGAGTCAAGGTTATTTTCCAAATATGTTCCTACAAAATGCCAAGCAAGGACCCACCAGAATTATTTTGTACTCCCTATATCCTGGCTGTCCTTGGGGTCCCTTATTTTGAGCAACTCCTTCATGGTGTAGGGCTTATGCAACTGAATGCTCCTTGGAATGGCTTCCTGCTTGTTGTTGGCCTTAAAGGCTTACTCTAGAGTTCGGACGTACTTCTCCCCTGTTGAAGATCCTAGACTGCTTCCGTTCCACAAGTCAATGCCCGAATAATCCGACCGAGACAGCGCATTAAAGGTCGAAAGGTGCTGGTCAAAGAAGTCTTCCCGGGACTTGGGAATCCCTTGTTTGCCAAGAAGCTGTCACACGGAGGTGGCCCTGTCACGGAACAGAAGCCTGCAAGCGCACCTGCAGAAGAAAGTATTGTCCAGCCCTGCCTGCATCTGAGAAGTTGGTTTAGGGGTAAGGGTTGGGGGTTATAGGTTTAGGGTCTAGGGCTTAAAGCGTGGTGTGGGCTTTTGATGCCCAGTTTCGCCAGCTAGTCCCTAGTCGCCAATAACAGCAAGATCCCAAGCCCCCTAAGATGTTTGGTATACTGTGCCATTGTATCGTGGGAAAATGTATTTTTAGGGGGTGGGAGGTTGTTGTCATCAATCACTACTAATGCTGTTATTACTACGGGGGGGGACTGAGTGATACTCATGCAGATACGAAATCAGCTTGTGCAAGAGTCATAGACAGTTGTGGGGGTCTGGGTGCGTTTGAGGTGTGCCTTTGACTTATGGAAACGACCACTGTGAGATTACTGGTCCGAACGGCAGTGATACGTGTGGCTTGAAGCCCAGTCGCTGAACCCTCAAGAATACAGTAGCTCCAATTTTCCTTCCATCTTCCCTAAGCCCCTAGAGCGTAACCCTAGACTGAAAAACACAAACATCAAAGGGTTCTTGTGGTAAAGGTGAAAGAAGAATTCCAGAACCCCCCCTGCAGATAGCTCAGACGAACCGCAAACCCTTCATGTCAAAACCGCGTCCAGTCTACGTAGCATGAGAAATGCTTAAACCCGGAGACCCTATACATCCATGTAAACTCCTATGATCTGTAGTCCAAACTGCTTGAAGAGGTTATATCGGGGATTATTTTTGGGGACTACTCTAGGCTCTAGGGGATATTAAAGGAGACCAGGAGTTTAGATTATAGCTCATATGATCCCAATTTCCATGTCATTCTCCAATTTTTTATTTCGTTCTCATCTCCCTTCGCTTGCAAGACCAGGAAGACCAAAGCACCCAGAAAGCTCCATACGCCTCAATTAAGGCATATACTTGAAGTGGCATAAGCACCACTAGAGTGACGTAGTGAAACCTAGTTAATACAGGGGTACTGGCCTGCCTGGGTGCTGCAAGCCTTGGACTTACTGGTGCTTAAAGGGGGGAGTGGGGGAGGGAATGCAGGGACCATTGTGGTACTCATTATGGGGGGTCATATTTGGGTTTATATAAGGACTTTACGGATTATACACAGGTAGTCTTGTAGGGATCCACTTCCATACTTGCCGTTAGGCATGAGATCGATGAATGCATGATTTTGGTAACACCTGCGCATGTTCCTTGAAACGTGAGCTCTGCAAGGGAGCAGTGTCACGAACACCGCTCCTGTCATGGTGGTGGCAAGTAGTACCCCCCCTAGGTTTCCCCCTTAAGTAAGGTTATTTAGGGATAATTAGGCTTAATTAAGGTTAATTCAGGAGGAACCTAGCGGGGGGTAGTATAGGGGGGGGGGTACTAGTTGAACCCATGATATGATTGAATGCAGAGCCCCACGCACTAAGCTCCAAACACCTAGGCTGTCCTAGCCCTGGCCCATGAGGTGCAGACCCGGTGGAAGAGAAGCCTGCGCAAAGCCCGCAGGGCCTGGGCCCTGGAGGGACCCATGATTTTGCGCACTCCCTTACAGCCCCCCTTAAGTAGATAGAATATGGGGTATATGGGGATCTTATTATGATATACCCAAAGCCATATTCTATTTACTTAAGGGGGACTATAGCCCTAAACCGCGCGTTGTTTGAAGAGGATCTTCCAGCTTGGTGTCGCTGGAAAGCGGATTCAGCAGATTCTTACTGGCTATTTGGGATTCCTGGTGCTGCTTTAGGCTGAGTGAGGGGGTGAACACGGGCCTTTCCAGAATCAGGGCTCCTTCTTGTGCCCCCAAGAAAGAGGATAAGAGTATATGCCGTGTATGGGGCCCGCTATTTATGAAACCGCGGCCATATACTGATAGCAGAGATACCTTGCCCAAGCACCAGAAACTACAGCAAGTAGTACAGGGACCCCAAGTGGTGCAAGATCTTTGTCTGTTAGCAGAAGGCGCCACTAATGTAGACCCATGATGAATAAAGCCCCTCCTTTTAAGGGCCTTACTTTTGGGATCCCTAGTATCATCCCTATTGAGGGGCGGGGATTTATTTATCAGGGGTCTACATTAACAAAATAAGCCCTAAACCCTAAACCCTAACCCTACAGAAGGCACCACTATAGCGGTACAAAAGCACGAGGAGCGTCGTCTAGAAGAGGTAGCCGCTACGGAGTCTTGTAGTGTATCTACAATGAGGTATAGGGTTTAGGGTTTCGGGTAACCCAGACCCTTTTTAGGGGTTATATAGGGTTACGTGAGGGTTATTTAGGGGTTGCTATGTAAGGGTTATTTAGGGGCTTTGTAGGGTTTAGGGCTTGTCTTGTTAATGTAGACCCCTGATGAATAAACCCGCTCCCCTGAATTTGGATTTTTAAATAGGGATCCTAATGCTAAGGCCCGGGGGTTTATTAGTCCTGGGTCTATATCATCTACAATACTCTAAACCCTGAACCCTAAAAGAAGCCAGAACAAGCTCGAGATGTCCGTTTGTCCGTTCTTACACTGAAGTGGGAGCAATCCTGAACACTTGCACCCTATCAACCCACGCCCCCGAAACCTGCTTTCGAAAGTCCTGCATCAGTAGCCTTGTAGCCCTCAACCCAAACCCCCCCCTACGTATACTTTCATTTAGCCCTATAACCCCCGTGAATGGACCCACTGCTTCCCTTCCTTTCAGCAATGCCAGAAGAGGCGATCTCCTCCACGGGAACCCTGATAACTTGCCGACCCACCTGGAAGGCCAATGCCCCAACACTCGGATTCTGATTTCTACTTGGAGTTAAGGGTTTAGGCCATCGGCTCTGTGTGCGTGCCACGATGCAGAAAGGGTTTCGGGACACCAGGGAAGAAGTACGATTTCTCACGGTTTCGCACAGAGATGGGACAAGGCCTTTTGGGGTCGTTTGTCCAGAAGAGACAATCTACAGTCTTATGTCTGATGTGAGCAAGCCATAAACTAAACTTCGCAGTTCTTGTTTCTCTTGTTTTGTGTCGCCACTCCTAGGCTGCACTGGTGGTATTGCTCCCTTTGCCCTGAGCCCTTTCCCGTTCCTCTTATCTTCTCCACCTTTCCGCCTTCTCCGCCTCATTTTACTGTGTTAGCTCTGACACTTGCTGTTGTTGTTGTTGTTGTTGTTGTTGTCCTTCCCTTCAACCTTTCAAGCAAAAGAGATGCTGCAGGTCCAGCCGAGGTTGCTGCCAGCTCGGCACCCGGTTTCATTCAGGCTTTTTAACATTTCAGTGGTACTTTTTCTGAGAGTTCCCACAGTAAGACTCAAAGTGTTTCGGTGCTTTTGGAGGACACTGCGCCTTCTCCAGAAAGGCCCTGTTGTTGTGGGACATTGAAGGAGATCATTACTATTACCAGTGTCTTTATTCGTCTTATTATTGCATATTATTACCATTATTGTTGTTATCTTGCGTTACTTCAGGAGCTAGCTCCGGGACTCTCCCCCCTCACGTGCCCAGGTTTGATTTTTTCAGCCTTTGCTTGCATGGTCTGACCTTTCAAGCACAAGGCTGCAGAAAAGCTGTGGCCTAAACTGCGCTCAGCGAAGCAACTTTTGATTTGATTGCATGTTGTACCATCATCAGGGTCTAGGGATTGGAGTTTGGGGTTTAGGGCGCCGATGGAGTGTTTCTGGGAGTGACACCCTCTCTCCTTTCAAAATGGTATCATGTTTGTTTGCAGGACCCGCAGCAAGAGATTTACATTTTGGACGGTGCCCCCGCATACAGCCACTTTCATCATCTTTCCCCTCCTGACGACTCTGAAGTCAACATACCCGCTAATCGTACATTCCGTATCCCGTAGGAACAACGAGGAAGTAGACTGAACACCTTTATTTTTTTTACATACCCCTATAGATGTATCTTTCCCTTTGATTTTCCGCTGGGTTCTGAATTCCCTACTCTAAGCCCGAAACTTTAAATCGCTAAGTACTGGTAGTCTCCATTTCATGGTGATGTTCTTTTTCATGTGATTCTGTCCATTACCTGGTTAAACCCTAAACCCTAAACCCTAAACCGGCCAGTGAACTCTGAAGCTGTGCCATGGCCCTGGGAAGATGCTGCGGCTGAGGTGCCTTCCGCAAGGCGGAGCAGGATATTTTAGGATTGGGGTTTCGGGTTTAGGGTTCAGGGGACTTCAGTCCAAGTCCACTCCCTTGTGGGGCTTCCCGCTGCAGTGGTCTTTTAGATCTGTTTAGCACATGCCCAAACAGCCGAACTTGGCCCCAAGGCTTTCCGACCAGTTTCAACCGCCATGTTGCGGCTGGTTTGGGTACTGGCATCTTGCCGCACCGATGTCCTGGCATTTCTTTGCAGAAGCCTTCTTCTGGGGGTTGGCGCCTTCGTGGTGCCTGGGTTTAGGTTAAGTTTACGGTTCAGGATTTGCAAGAGGGCTTTTGGGAACTGATGCCCTAATGGCTTCAAACAACATGGAGCTGCCATTTTCCCGCAGTAGTAGTTTCCATTTTTTCCATTTCCCTTATGTAGCCCTATAGTATTCCTCCCTGTTTTTTATTCTATACCCTAGGTGATTAAGTGGGTAGTATACCCCTGTATTCCTGTCTTTCCTACTAATCCTTAACCTTTAACCCTTATTTTCAGCCCTCTATATGTGTATATATATATACAGGCATATTATTCTGCAAGCATACACACACACACATATATATATATGCACATGTATAAATTCGCAACCCTATTCCCTAAGTGGTTTAGCCGAGGTGTGGCTGCTGCCGTGACAGGCTTGGCCGTCAGCAAGTCCTTGGCAACTGAAGCCAGGGCGCGCTCTGTCTTGCCTTCCCCAAATATACATGAGGCGGGCATTCGCGGTTTACCCTGAACTCCACGGTTACCTAGGGTTTAGGGCTCAGGGCCTGAACTCTAAACCCTAAACTCTAGACCCTAAACTCTAAACCTTAAAGCCTTAGAGTTTAGGCTTGTGTTGCTGGGGTAGAACAGGATGGTTGATAAGGCTGCTCCCAGCGCATGCTACTGAACTAGTCCCACGTGAACGCATCCTGGAATGTAAGGCACTGCCTGCAGGGTCTTATAGATGAGTGGGCCTGGATCCGATTTTTTTTTATCCACCTAAACCCTAAGTAGTTTCCATTTTCTTTTCCATTATCCCTATATAATCCCTAATGTAACCCTAATATAACCCCAATATACTATAGTAGTTTCCATTTTCTTTTCCATTATCCCATAACCCCTTGGAGGGTATGCAAGATCCCCTAGCTGAAGCCATTCTCTCTGGTGGCTCGAACATGTTCGAATTGTTCATTGCAAGTTCATGTGTTGAATCCTTGGGTTTGTCCTCGTAGGTGGGCTATATCACCGTGCCTCGGGCTGACTCGGATAGTGCTTTGCTTTTCGTTTTCTGTTGCCTAAATCGCTCTGTTTAGAATGTTGGGAGCCCCCCCACGCCGTCGAGGATTTAGAGGGCGACCTTGCCACATTTCAGCGATATCTGGACAGCGAGCGGGCAGTGCTGTATAGGGACCCCTGGTGCAGTTTCGGAGACGGTAGTTTCCCAAAATAGGGGGACCTCAATACAGATCACAGTATACTATAGTCCGTATAATAGGGACCCTCCCCCCAAAAGGTATCCCTTTTGGGAAACCTCCCCTATATAAGCCCTATTTAGCCCCTATATAACCCGTATACCCCCCCTTAAAGGTACCCTTAATTGTGGACCCTAAATCCTAAACCCTAAACCCGGGAAACCCCCAGGCTGACTTTTCTGATTTTTCAGTGTCAGCAGCCTAGTAGACTGTTGGAAAATGCCAATGCAGGGGACTGCTAAGCAATGCCCGCGAACCACCAGAAGCTACCTTAGGGTTCAGGGTTTAGGGTTTAGGTTAGCTAGGAAGGAAGGAATGGATCCTTATAGTAGTCCTATGAACCCATTATAGTAGGTTTCAGTTTGTTTTCCATTCCTTCCTTCCAAGCTAACGCAAGAAAACAGTACAATGCATTCGCTGTCAGGCTCTGTGCTTGGTCCCGCAGCCCAGTGTATGAGTTTACCAAGAAGGAAAGACACCTTTCCCTAAATTGAGGGCTACAACCACTAATCCCCTCCCCTATTTTTGAACCACCGCACCACCCCTAATATTAAATACTCCCAATATTTTGTAGTACACCACCATGGGGAGTACTTGTTATTAGGGGGGTGGGGGGGTTTAGACGAAGGGGTAGGGGATTAATCAGGGCCAAAACCCGGGCCTTAGAGCCAGTGATGGTGCTGCGGCGGTTTCTCCGATCATTTTTTCATACGAGCTATAGTCTAAACTCGTTGAAGTATGGGGTTTTATTTAGGGGGATACTAGGAGTTTAGACTATAGCTCATATCAGATTATCAACAGCATTACTTACACCCTCAACCCCTAAATTGTTCCTTTGTCCCCCCCAAGTACTTTGATTGTCTGTGTTTGAGCTGAGGACCGGGATGGGGAGCTCCAACTCCGGTCTAAGAACGCTGCCTTTGTATCTTGCTGGTTCTTAGTAGGGAATCAATGTACATGTATATATATATATGTATGCTTTTTTGAAATGGGGTTTAGGGTTTAAGGTATGGGGGGGAAATGGGGATGTACATTTTATAGTGTTGAGGGTTTAGGGTAGCAGGGGAATATCGGAATATATGATGTAGGGATTATATTCCCTTCTTCCCTACTGAGAGCCGGTAAGGTATTTGGCGGTGACCTCTTTGATCGCGGCAACGGCGACCTGAGGCTCGCGAAGCTCTGGGATACTTGTTCTTGTGATCTACTGCTGCCAGGATGATTGCTAATGATTACTACAGCACATGCGGAAAGATGTCGCATTGATTGCCCTATAATGTATGTCTTTCCATTCTTTGGTAACAGGACATTGACGAGATGTGATGTTTCTTACGTGGACCCCACACCCAGTAGTAGTGACTAAGGGATAATAGTAACCACATTGCCTCCTTATATTCCTATGATATCACAATTACGGGCTGGGGGTTCCGCCTACGATATTTCCGTTTCTACTGATTCTTCTGGGTTTTTCTGAGAAGCCCTAAACTCTACACGCTATGATTCTTCTAGGCTTTTCCCAGAGCGCAGGCTGGCCAGGGAGCTTGTTCGCCTCAAGAAGAGGCACCCTGAACGAGTCTTCCTGATCATGGGAAACCGGGACATCAACAAGATGCGCCTTACCGCGGAGCTGGAGGCTTGCCGTAAGTTTTCCGTTTTTGACTCTGAAGATCCCTTCCCAGAGCCCCTTCTTTCCATCGGCTTTACTCCCCCATCCCTGCGTGAACGCGGTGACAGGCCGACGAGGTCCGCCGGGGCAAGAATGCTGCCTACCCCGCTTGGTGGGATGCAAATGCCACCACCTTGACAGATTTCCTGGAGAAGAAGCAGCTTCCAGATACCCGGGTCAATCGATTGAAGTGGATCTTGCAGTGTACCATGGGCTCACCCAAAGCTTTTGCACTCCGAAGGGAGGAGTTGGCCCATTTGGAGCACAAGGCCGTCTCTGACATTTCTGATGAGGAGGTGCTGAATAGTTTTGATCGTTCTGTTGAAGAGGATGGCGAAGTGACCAGCTACCTCCAAAATGCCCAGATCGGCGTGATCATTGGCGACACACTTTTTGTGCATGGAGCTGTAGAGCGGCAGGCCTTGGGGTTTGTACCCAGCCCTACGCTCCGGTACATCAGAAACAGCCCCGAAGACGTGCGCGGCAAGGGAAGCCGCTGTGACCTCCCCCTGCGCGAGTGGATTGAGGGATTGAACACCTTTGCTGCCGACCAGGTTGACACCTGGCAACTGAGCCCCGACTGGCAAGGGAACGGGGAGCGAGTTCGAGGAGGGGAAGCGCTCATGGCGTATCAAAGCCGACCGGCCATGGCCCTGCACACAGTGGTGGTGACGTGCTACGTGGATGGCCACAGCATGCCAGCCCGGAAGGCCATCGATAAGGATAAGTTCGAGGGCTACCAGAAGTGCTCGGACCCCTTGAGCCCTGAGGTCGTGAAGTATCTGCTGGAAGGTTCGCCGCAGTTTTCACCGACCTACCTACTTGAGTTCCGGCCTACCGCCGATCCATTCTTCGTTGTTTAAAAGGCAAACGCAATTCATCAAAGTGCACCCATTGGATTTGTTCGCAGGTGGGGTTCGTCGGATCGTTGTGGGGCACAAGCCAAGTGGCGCAGCTCCTGCAGTTCTTCGAACATCTGGTCCGGATGGCTTGGGCTACGAGGTGTGGTGACGTCTCAAGATTTTAAAGACTTCATTGGTTGGGGTCTTCTGCTCATGTAGTGATGCTTGTCACTATGAGATAGCGAGGGGTATGTAACTCTTGCTTGCAGTTACAGCTGATAACAGCTCTTTCTTTATCCGTCCCAGGTCGTTTCTGGAGATACCAACTACGCCAGCCCAAAAGGCCCCTGCCTACGGGGCGGCTCATGGTGTGAAGTGCGCATCTCGCTAAATCCGTGGTCCTGGCACTGTTCGGCAAACTTTGGTAGCTTCCGAAAGACTTCTTAAAGGCAGTGAGAACTGTGAGAACCCGCAGTTTCCACTTTGATTAATTTTCCTTGTCCATTTGCTTTGCCACTTATCTGAAGCCCCAAACCTAAACTCTAAGTATTGCTTTCCATATCATTTTCCTTTTCATTTTTCATTCTATATTTTATCTAAATCCTAAACCTCAAATGCCAGGGTCAAAGAGCGCCGAAATCTGACCCTCCCAGGTCCGATGGCACCAGCCGCACGAGGCTGCATGGAAAGCTGCCAGATGACTCTGGCGAATCTGGGTTGCTGTTAAGGAATTTGATTTAAGTTACGATTTTGGTTAAACCATTTTTGTTATTGTATATATATATATCCATAATGGTAACTTAGTTTAAGTTCCTTAACCGTAACTCTATATATCCCCAATATCCCTAGATACCCCTATATACCCCCATATAACAACAGCAACACAGGAATACGACTTTTGTCTGCCGGCCCTGGGAACACCAGTGCAGCTCGGTGAAAGGCTTGGATTTAGGGTTCAGGGTTTAGGGTTTGGGGTCTAGGGTTAGGCAAGAGGTCCAGGGTGCAGGCTTTACTGGGTTGCTGAAAAACAACCCAATTTAGAATGCTCTGGGTTTAGGGAGCGGTCTCATTTTCACGGTCGCTCGGTCTCAGTTTTTAGGTCAGAACTCTCGGTTTTACGATGGTTTGGTATCATTTTTCAGTTCGCTCGGAGAGTAGCACTGGGTTTCCGATCAACTCATGGGTGCTTGAGGGAGAGGGGGGCAGTGGATCCTCATAATAATCCCTACATAATCCCCATGTGTACTATATACCCCCATAACGGTACTCATATTCACCCCCCCAAAACCCTAAACCCTAATGCCCTAAACCCTACAGTAGTACCTATGTTCACTCCTCCACTCCCCCTTAAGCACCAGTAGGTCAAATAGTGGGGTAATGTTGCACCCGACACGTTGGAGAAAGCCCTCGGGTTGAGTTTCAAAAAGGAGGGCTTAGGGTTTAGGTAGAAATGAGTGAATGCGATAACGTGATATGATCCTTTTGTGGTTTGTAATTATTGTCATAGTTGACACTTGCGTTGCGCAATATACCCGCCTAGAAAGGGTTAAGGTTCTAGGTTTAGGGAGAAGGTTCTTGCAATCGGAATCACAGATGGACCCCCAGGATAGCGAACGTGCATCTTCACTATGGTCCCAATTTTGATATCTCAAAGGAGTTTCTCAAAATGATGAAGCCATTTTGGGGCATGCCATCGTACAGACCGTGCTTTTTTGAGAGGGCACGTAGAGAAAAAACATGCGGATAGGAGCCCACGAACCATATGCAGACACGCGGCAGACGCCACGTGATACGCAGTCCCCAGTCACTCCCCACTCTACACCTCACATCACCCTCACCTCTCTGCTCTGCACTCTATCCACTCTCCATTCTTAACTGCGTACGCCACTCCACTCTTCAGAGGCTGCACCCTCCGCTCGCTCCACACTAATCACTAATCTTTACTCTCCGATCTCCACACTGCAACCCACTCCTCGTTTCCACTCCAAAGCTCTTCCGGTCCGGACAGGAGGGTCCAAACGCGACGACAGTTACAAAGATGACGACACCCAGGCCCTTCCTCCATGTAACTGTTAGCATTTTTGAACTTTCGAGACGCAACGAAGACACGAGGATCCAAAAGCAACAACAATTGCGAGGATAGCCACGTTTGGGGGCTTTCCCGGCCTGCAGCCGTGACTCGACAGTCGCGAAAGCTTCGCGCATCTTCGCGCATGCTGCGCACAGGCTTGTGAGCTTCTCAACTTTTGGGCACCTCCCGGACCCGTGGACCCTGACACTTCTGCAGAGCTGCGACTAGATGACTAGGACTAATGGCTCAATTTCGCAATGGAAAGTTCCCTTCTCGGCTTTTGTTCATGTTGATTCCACTCACCGAAGCCGACCTGACCCCAGAGGCAAGCGGGCTGACTTAAGCTCTCAGACTCTACGCCCTACGTAGCAGATATCCGAAACCTTAAAAAAATAGTAGCTCTACGCCCTTCTCCAGCCTGAGCCCTAAATGAGGCCTTAAACCTACGGCGTCACCTCCTCAACTTAAACACTAAAGCCTCATGCTAAACGCTACCTAAGCTGCAGACCAAGGAAGAGCGATGATGAGGGAGATCAGCTTATTGGCCACGAAACGACTGAAGGCACGGGGGCTTAACCCTAAACCCTAAACCCTAAACCCTAGGGGGCTTAAAGGTAGGGAAACTCTTCACACCACATGGGCATCTCTCCCCTTTTCCTGAAGTTCAGTCTCGGGTTTATAGATCTGGGTTCGAGGTGTAGAGTTTGGCCATGATTATTAACATTGTTACTACCATTATTACTATTACTGTTACTTGTGCTAGTAATGTTAGTATTATTCTTACTGCTGTTATTGTTGGAATTCTTCTTGTTGTTTTCATTCTTATGATGTCAGGGTTTCAGGTTAACGGCGTAGGTTAGGTTAATGGCTCAGGCTACGGTCTTATTGTCTTTATGGTGAGAGTACAGGCTATCTATGAATTTTGAGTGTAGCGACCATAAACCTAAGCCCCACCATGAATGCCATGAAGAGTTGAGTTATTCATTTTTGGATGCACCCAGACCCCGAAAAATCCGAAACCTCTCCAACTCCAACACCCGAAGCCCTTAAACCCTTAAAGCCCAAACCCTAAACTGATGATCCAGGCTGGTGGGTGCGAGTTCGGCTTCTTACATCTGATGGATCCCGCCGCTACTTGGCCATTATTAGAACATGGGGATTTACCACAAATTGGGGAATCGTAAGGGCCCAATCCGGATTGCAAGTATCCTCAAGGGCTTCATAGGCTGCAATTTTTTTTTCTCGGAGTTTCCCATGGCTTTGTGCAGCAAGAATCTACAAGCGTTTTTAACCGGAGACAGGCAAGAAACTAGATCGAAAAGGAGTGTTACAATTGATCACCCGTGGCAACATTACATTGCACTTTGCATAATGGGATGTAGAAGCAGTTCGGGTTTCAACCGGGCCCGGAGTGTCATCAGGCTACCTCCTGTCCAAGGGCAAAGGGCGCAAGGCCGATTACATCATGAAGGATGCCACGGAGATTGAAGTCTGCTCAGTACCTCCATCTCTGAAGCCCTAGTGTCTCAGGGTCCACACGGACCCGTCCAAGCTTGAAGCTACCGGAAGTTGGGGCAAAAGCCAAAGCGCCCAAGAAAGGGTTTCAGAGCTGCCTCCCCGGCCTCCCCAGCATGATAACATGCCTATCCGCCCTCGCTCCGGCACATTGTGTACAAAGATGCTGGAACATGGTCTGGCTTGAGCTGGAAAAGCATTTGCCAAACAGCGCGCGATGTGAAAAGGCTTTGCTGAGGAAAGCGTTGCTGGTGCAGATCAATTCAGCACCGCCTCTACTGCCATTGCAACCACTGCCGCTGCTGCTGCTGCTGCTGCTGCTGCTGCTGCTACCACTACTGCTGCTACTGCCTCTACCACTACCACTGCCACTGCTACAGCTACTGCGACCACCACTGCCGCCGCCGCGACCGCCGCCGCCACCACCACCACCACCACCACCACCGCCGCCGCCGCCACCAGCACCAGCACCAGCACCAGCACCAGCACCAGCACCAGCGCCAGCGCCAGCGCCAGCGCCAGCGCCAGCGCCAGCGCCAGCGCCAGCGCCAGCGCCACCGCCACAGCCACCGCGACTGCGACCGCGACCGCGACCACGACCACGATCACTCCCCCTTACGACCCGGAACCTGGCACACAAAGTTCGGGGTTGGTTTGGGGCGTAGGGTGTACGGTTGAGAGTTCAGGGTGGAACGGGAAAGTTTTGGGGGTTAGGGCTTCTCTTGGGATGCGTTCTTCCGTTCCCAGGTAGGCATGAGGAGGAAAAATGTTTAATTGTATGGAATAGATCCCCATTGTGGGGGTACATGGAGGTACCGTAAAATTTTGGGAAATGCAGCATCTTCCTCTGGAACTAGGGTGGCACACAGTCCTGCAATCTCCGCAGTGCTACGTGCCATTGGCAGACCTCGGCCCAAACGCAAATCCCCAGATATCCCTCAGCCCTAAATGCCCAATCCCTAAACCCTCAACCTGATAACAAATTAAGCGGCTCCTGTGACATCACAATTGCTTAGGGGAGTAGAAAGGTAGGTCGTCCAAATTGGTCGCCAAATCATATTGGCTATCCTAAATGAGGACCATCATTCTGCCAAGTCCCAATAAGACATGACAGTTTCTTTTCGAAGTTTTTGTCCCTACAGAAACCTATGCATCCCGCCTCCAATTTCTTACACCTTCAAATTGGAGCCATTGTTGGACAGCTGTTTTATTCTTTAGCTTGCTAATCCTAATGACGAATCTATCACATGGCTTTAAACTGTACTGAGTCCGAAGCCTACCTTAAATCCGAAACCCAGCAAATCCTAAACCCTAGACCTTAAAATTAAATTAAACCCTAAACTTAAGCCCTAAACCCTGTAAATCCCAAGGCCCCCCCTCCAAAAGATTCGAAGAATACCTTGAGGCGCGTCTGCAACGGATGCCGTGGAGCAGCCAGCGCCAGGCCAGTGGCTCTAGAATGTACCTCTGAGGCTCTGAGGTTTAGGGTTTTAAGGTGTAGGGTTTTAGAGTTTTACGGTTTTAGAGTTTCAAGGTTGTAGGGCTTAAGGGTTTAGGGTAAGGAATGAAATGTACACAGATACCCCAGGTCTACCCCCTAGAATAATGGAAAAGAACATGGAAAGTACTGTATTATTACCGGGTTTACCAAGAGGGTGGGGGCTACCATGCTAGTTAGGGTTTACGCGCTTGGACAATGGAAAAGGAGATGGACATTAACTTAGCTCTTAGGGTAAGGTTCAGGGTGTAGGCTTTGAGCGAAAGCTTTTTTTTTGGTTTCGCGTGTAGGGTTTGGGGTCTAGGGTTTTGGGTTTAGGAAGTTTAGGTTGTAGGTTTTTGAGTTTACATTCCATGGAGTAAGGTTCTGAGTTTAGGTTTGGGGTACACGGTTTACTAAAACAGGGGTATCAACGATAAGACTTCTACATCATAGCCTTATGGATTTTCCGTAGGGGGCTTGAGTTGAAATTTCAGGATTCATGGGCCCCTTTTGTAAGGCCAGATGCAAAGACCAAGCAGCGAAGGCCCTCTGGTCACTCATCGCGCGTTTTCCCATGGCTCTGCTTCGCGGAGTTCGTTTCGGCGATTGTTCCACAGAAGCTGAGGTCCAAATTGGCTGAGGGTTAAAGGAGCTATCAACACAGTTTGTTGAGTTTTGTGCAGGGCGGTTGGAGGGACATAGCGAATCGCGTAGAGAGCAGTATGTCACACGCGGATGACAGGCCCAGACGGGAGCAAGATGTCACTTTCCGCCGGACTTTTGTAGTAAGGCCCTGAAGTGACGTTGAACTTGCGGAACTGTAGCAGGGGGCCCTGCAAGGCGGGCACTAATATTGAGCTCCTCGTTAAGGAGTTGGTCCATGCTACCATCGAGAAATTTCTTTCTCACTTTGTGGCCCTAAGCTTCTTCGAACTTAAGTTCAAACTTCCCCAAGTCTGCTAGCCTTCAGCGACAGGTCCCTTAGTACGTCGAGTCACCTCCAGCGAGGAGGACGAGGTTCGCTGCCATGCTTTGCCCACTGCAGCAAGTAGCGAGCGACGGAAATGGAATCAGCAGCATACAGATTTTGAAGGGGGAGGTGCAGCTGGAGTAGGTGCCATACTACCAATAATGATGCTTGAAAGGGCACCCAGCACAGACAGGACGTATCTTCCCGAACAAGATCATGGGACCTTCGTCAGAGCAAGGGTGATCAACGCCCTGTTGCTAGTCGCCCGTCTTCAAGGTTTTTGGCTCAAGTGCACAGCAAGGTTCCGCCTAGCTCCCTAAGATTCCTCTACGCCGGCAGGATGACTCAGTCTCGAATGTTGCCGTCTCTTGGCAATCGATAGGCTGGATCACAGAATCTCTAGAGAAATGCAGCTCCTTCTATGTACAGCTTGAATCGGTGGCCCACCAACATTTTATGGTGTTTACAACTTGGGAAATGACTCTGTCATTGTATTTGCTACCTGAATTCCATGTAGGTGGATCATGGTTGGCGAAATCTGCTCTGAACTCTAAACCACAAGCTGTCCCCCCTCCCCCAAAGTCCCACATACATAATTTGTCAATCTAAGCTTTCAACGTACATAAACCCTAAACACACTCACCCTGAACCCGAAAACCTCAGACCAGTCCACCCTTACAGCAACCCCTAAACCCTAAACCGTAAATAGCAGTTTCAGTTCTTTTTTCTGTTATCCCTATGTATCCTTATATGAGCTCTAGTCTAAGGTCCTTAAAACAAGGGCTTATACTGGGGGAGTATTATAGGCGTATGAAGGCGGATACTCGGAGTTTAGACTGTAGCTTGTACAACTACATAACTCTATGACGTCATCTCTATGTATCCTTATATAACTGATTTTAAATAACCCTATATGAGCTATAGTCTAAACTCCTTAAAGGGGGTTAAATAGGGGATTAAAAAGGGTAATACTATAATGGTTATTAAGGGGGATACTAGGAGTTTAGACTATAGCTCATATAACTTACCCCTATATAACCCCAATATAACCCCTATATACCTTCATAACCCTGTAAGGGGATTTTGGGAGCCTGAGCCCACCCAAGCCTCAAAGCAAGGACTGTGCTGCTCGCTGCTGGCTCCTGGCTCCTGATCTCCCTGCTGGGCTCCAAGCAGAGCCTCGGGAAGCTGTTGATCTAAGGTCGTTGTAGGGGTTAGGGGTTTTAGGGGTTTTAGGGGTTTTTAGGGGTTCAGGGGTTTAGGGGTTTTGGGGTTTAGCTTCTTATAATGTGTAGATCTATGCATATGTGTGTTTATATGTATATAATATAGGTACATACTCTAGGGTTTCTATTAGGTATAAGTCAGTTGGACTCCCCATCCTGCTATAATGGTATAATAGGAATTTGAGAGATCCCCATTAGTTACTATTGCTGGGAAGGGGGGGGGGGCACTTAAGGCATACAAGCAGAGGGCCTATACTAGAAACCCTTGAGCTGAGAATTCGGGTCAGCTTAGGGTCTGGGGTTTAGGGATTGAGACTTGGCATTTGGGGGTTTTCAAGTATTTGGGGTATCCGTTTTGAATTTCGGGGATGAGGTTTGGGGCTCAGGCCAAGCGGTTGTTGAATTTGTAGATGAATATGATATGAAGAGGCGGGCCTCCCACACTTTCCACGTTTACATGCTCTGGAAGGGCATCGATATGGAGGTTTCCCATAATTAGGGTGCCATTTTCGGGATCCCTACGATAAAGATTATAGTATCTTGAGGTCTAGGTTCAGATCCCCTATTTGGGGAAACTACTATATGAAGTACATGGAGACCAGAATGCAAGAGAATGAGGATTCCTGAAACCCTCCCAGAAATAGACAACTACCGTCAAGTCTAGAATAACACTAAAAACATGGCTGCCGCCCTAAACCCTAAACGAATGGCGATCAAAGTTTTTCAGGCTGTCGCAGCCCGAGGCTCCAAACTGACTCTATGTCCTGTTGTGGTCCAGTAGCTCCTGTTTACAGTAGCTATAGTCTAAACTCCTTAAAGGGATTACATACTATATAGGGGAGTATTATACAAAGTTATTCAGGGGGATGCTAGGAATCTAGACCATGGGTTGTATAAGCCTTATAGTTAAGGGACCCTGAACAGTAAACATGGGGTCCTTCTTGTAGTTTGCTCTGGTCATTGTTACAGCGCCTAGTTAGTAATATTGACTGTAGCTCATATGATTATGCACCTCGTCATAAACGCAGTTCCATTTGATTTCCATGGCCTTCTGCACTTGATTTTCCGTTATAAAGGTCTATATCCCTATATATCCCTATAGAACCTTAAGGCCTCAGCCTAAACCCTATGAACCCCAAACCTTGCAAGCTGAGGACAACCTTCCTCACTGGCACTTCACCTTCGGCATCTCGGCAGAGCCGAACCGCAATGCGAGGCTTCAAGGACCCTTGGCTGCGCTGGCTGCGCTGTAGGCGAGCGTTTGGGATGTCAGATATGGGGTTTTATAGGTTTATACAGGCACACCTAAGGTCAGTTAGGGTGATTTAGTGTCATGTAGGGATATATATTGGCAATTATAGAGATAAAAGAGAAGAGCATAGATACTATACTTTAAGCTTTCCGCAATAGCTGAAGTCCTATCAGCCAGCTTGGGGCTGACGGCCCCGACCTCGGAATTATGTCCTGGCTCCCTTGACTGTCCTAAAAGGGGGCTCTGAAGAGCCTGCGCGGGTTCATGTTGGTTTTTAGGGGGTAGTCCCTTGGAATGCTTCTGGTTCCCCTGCATCTTGATGGACCCATTCAACGTCGCCGAATCATACTTTGCAATCTTGGAGAGGGCTGTGAACCTTAAACTCGAAGCAGTAAGCTCAAAATATAGAAACCGTCAATCCCTAGAGCTTCAGCCATAAACTTTAAGCCCTACATCCTGATCCTAGTCCCCAACCTCACACCTAAACCCAAACCCTGCCCCCTACACCCTAACCCCCAAACCTTGAACCCTGAACCCTGAACCACTCCCTGCACGTTAAATCCTTCAAGCCTCTAAAACCTTGACCCTACTAAACCCTAAACCCTAAATCCCTGAAGCCTCGAAATCCTTGATCCTACTTAACCCTAAAACCTAAATCCCTGGAGCCTCTAAATCCTTAAGCCGACTAAACCCTGAAGCCTGAATCCCTAAAGCCGCTAAATCCTTAACCCTACTAAACCCTAAAGCCTAAATCCCTAAAGCCGCTAAATCCTTAACCCTACTAAACCCTAAAGCCTGAATCCCTAAAGCCTTTAAATCCCTAACTCTACTAAACCCTAAA